CCAGACACTAGCTTTGTTCTTCTTGAGGTTGAGGACCATCAGAAGGGGTTCTTACTTTATCATAGTGCAAAACTAGTAACAACCTATGGCTTTTAATGACCAGAGTGGGAGAACCCATATGGATTGTCAAGAAAATCCTTCTTTGTGGATACTGCTATGCGTTTTTGAAATTTGTTTCTGTCATCACAAGGAGAGAAATTTATTTGAGGGATGCTTCAGGATTTCATTTCTTTCGTAATGGACAGTGCCCTGTAAAGATTATTGGTGATTGATTTTTGCCGTATTGCAAATTCAGTAGCCGCATCCAGTGTTCTAGTACATGCTGACTTTTAATTTTTCACACAACTCTAGCTCTTTTCAGAAGGTTGAAGCCAGTGTCCTCATAAATGTATTATATGTAGAAGTCTTGTAGAAAAAAGAACATGTAAAAGTTTATTTGAAAAAGAAGAAATTCCATCTCTGGCAATGAGTTCTAAATTTCCTGCATAAAAGATGCATGAAAGCCTTTTTTTTTTACATATTGATATTGCGTTGTAAAAGATGTATGACAGCTCTCCTTTCCTTGCCATGCCATTTTTTTTTTCTTACTGATGAAGCTTCGGAAGGCTCACCCACATTTGCCCTTATAATTAAATGCTTCACAAGTAGCATGGGGTTCACCAAAACTAGCAAACTTGATATCACCAAAAACTTTCCCACCCTCACAAATGATAAACTCCAAAAACATGCCCCCAATTCATGAGCATTAGCACAGATTTTTCTAACAGTGACTGTTTCTAAGTTAACATGTATAAAACAAGGTTAATTAATCGGCATTTTAACGTTAATTTCATCTAAGCAATGAAAATATAAAACTTGGGACATTAAGATTAGAGGGACATTAGATTAGAAGTGTGCAAAACTCCAACTGATTCCCTTTGCCAAACTCGATTCAGACAATGTAAAACAACGATTAATCAATTGTTTTCTACATGTTAAAAGTGGAATAAAAAATTCTGCAAAACATATAAAGACCAAAAAAAAAAAAGTTGGAATTAACCAGGAATTACCATGTAACTTTTGATTTGCTTGACCGTCACAGTTTGTAGTTTACGGTAACTAGTAAATAGTAATACATTAGCATTCACCGTGGCAATTGGCTGCCTTACTGGATTTGGGACAATGCAAAGTACAATCACATTGATTGCTCACACTCACGTATTTTTTTTTTTGTCTGAAAATGGTAAAAGTGATCTCAATTTAATTAAGGTGGTGGTACCTTAAACAAAGCTAAGCTAGGCACGTTTCAATGGAAGACAGATATTGCTGTTCAACCGTGAATGCGGTGGCTAGTAATAACAAGTTTTCTGTAATCAATATAGTACTTTTGTTTTGTTCATAAATAAAAAAAAGAAAGTGGAAATGATAAAGGGGGAAAGAATAATATATATTAATAAAAATTTTAAGAATCTTAGTTATCCTTTCTTTCAAATCAAATACTTTCTAAAATTAGTGTGTAAGAGTTGCATTAATTAAAAACCTTTTTTAGCAGTAGAGGTGTTCATTAATTAGACTGGGGCAGGTCCAACTAATTTTTTTAAAAACTCCGTTTATCATATTCAAAAGATTTGAAAATTTTAAAATATATATTGAAATATTAATATTTTAATATTTTAAAATTAAAAATATATATTTAATAATTTAATATTACATATTGAATTTTAACTCAAAAATCTTTATTTAAGATCGAGCATGTTAAGCGGTTTAAGGATAGAGAATAAAGGATGAGGATGGTAAAATTTGAATTTTTATTTTGCATATTTTTTAAAAAACTTCTTATTCAGTAGGTCCAAAAATTGAATAATCATCCATTTGATTAACACATTAATTCTCTTTAAGAGCTTCATAATACTAATTTAATTGCAAACAGACAAAAGCATTGGTGGGAAACATTGTTCCTCCGGTGCCTGGAAGATGTGCAATTTCCACACTTTTCCCAATTGTTGTGCAATTCATATAAGTTGGTTTATTGGCATTGCTACCTAGTTCTCTGGGGGTAATTTCCCCATAGGAAAATTGGTCAATCACCAAATGGAAAAATAAGCAACAATTGGCTTTTACGCTGTATTTAATTTGTCAGATGAAGATTTGTAAGTATTCAGAAATAAGCTTCTTCCATTGCTGCTCGAGAAAAAACCAAAAACGAAAACAGCAGTATCGGATAAGAAGAAAGTGATATCTCACCCGACTTGAGACAGACACCCAGATTGTCCTTAGTTTTGGCTTGAAGCTTTGCATGTTGCATCAACCAAGCGTACGAGGCAACGCTGCAAAGTGATGGGCACCGACAACTAGAGAAGTTGTCATGTATAGTGTAGCCTTTACTCTCCCTTGCTCTCTTCTTTCCAACATGAACTCTAAAAGTAGTTGTTTTCTTCAAATCATATCAAATTAATTTTAGTTTTCAAGAATTTAATTATTTATTACATATTAAACATAATAATTAAATGAAGATTATTTATTTTAATAAATTCAATAATGATTTTCTTCTAATATATAATTATATGAAATGATTTAATCAAAGAAAATGACATATAATTGACACTCTTTTTTCAAATTTGAAAATGTATAATATTAATAATGCACAATGGGAGAAAATAATTGGAAGTATTGTGGGATTTGTCTGATTTTCACAATGGGTTTTTTCAAAGAAAGGTAAATGTACATGACTCAGTTAGCAATAGAAAAAGGTGACAGAATAGAAAGTGCAGCTATTATTTCAGAGTGACATTGTCATGTGATTTGCTATTTCTTTTTTATAGAACTTTTCCAAATCAGTTTGATGCCAAGAAATATCAGACTGAACTGGATTGGACGGCCATTCTTTTTATCCTATATATATATATATATATTCAAAATTTACTGTTTCATTGAAAATTAAAGTTCACCAAACAAATCAAGGGTGACATGCATTTATCATACAAGTCAAGTCCCGCATTTTGTATATGGTTTGAATTCTTCATAAGTATATGCCATTTAAATTTTTGATTGTTAATGTAATATTTTGTAATATTATGTAATTATATAGTTAAAGCAATATAAGGAATTATGATACTATCATTAAAATAATATTTAAGATTATAATATGATTATGATATCGTGAGATTCTTTCCTTAATTAATACGAATCTTATGTATGATACTTTGTTTTCTAGCATTGATAATGACAACAATATATATGTGTATATTTTTTATGTGTACGTATAATTATTTTATTATTTGAATTTATAAATAATACATTTGATATAGGTTAATTGAGTGCTTATAGTAATCTCTTTAAAACACACTTAGGGATGAGTTAACTAAATTTATCGAATTAAAATATAAAAGGATTTAGACTAACTTTGTTTAGAGAAAAATATAGAACTTTGATTTACTGAATTGGGGTAATGAATTGTATGGATTGGGAATTCAAAATCTAATTTTGTTGTCAACTATAAAGATGTAGCAATGTAGTTTTTCAGTAGTTAGGAAATTAATTTGATTCACCAGCCACCAAACTACCCAAAACCCAAAATTGCATAAAAGAATTGCAAATGGTCAATAAGCATATACTTAATTTCTAGGCCATAACCAGTTACCAGTTAACCCAAAAACACACATTTGAAGTGATCATTCTATTTTCTTGATAAGTGGTAAGTTAACCAAACTTTCATAAATTAACTGCCAAAAGATTAGCAATATTAGAGCTTCAAAACACTTTAGAAAATAAGGAAAAACCAAAAAAAATAGAGCAATTAGATCAATCTAAGTTATAGCAATATCTGAAAGGATTGAGTTTACCTTAAACTGATTTCGAATATTATAGTAATAAAATATTTTGTAAAATATTTTTAATTTTATTTTTAAAAAATAAACAAAATTCAATAAAATTAAAGTAAATATAACAATAAAATTTCATATTGAACCATAATATAAAAAAATTGATCTTAATAATTTTTTTTTGATGAGTTGAGAAATGAGAATTTGTTCCTTTCTCTCACTGCAAATTGCATGTGAATTGTGATGACAGGGAATGCGATAAGAGGCCCAAAAAATTTAAGATGCTGATGCTTTCGAACAACCAAATTTGGCATTCTCCGTATTCTAGACTCATGAGTTTACCCAAATTTCTCCACCCGTTGCTGAAATAAATGAGAGGCGGACATGCACGAGAAGATTGCAAATTTCATAGCCGAAAGACGAAACTGGCCTTCTTGCCTGTTTTGTAATAATAATAAAAAAAAAAAACCAGAGGAGCAAACAACGTAAAACATGAAAAAGGCGCAATAATTATCTTCCCATGTGTCACATACAAAAGTTTTGATAGGATCGGCATCACATCCGGTTTCTAGCAGTTCTTTTTAATAGAAAACTGAAATTCATCTATCAACCTTTGTATTTCTAGAACATAAATAATTTTGGTGTCATTTGCTTTTATAAAAAAAAATTTTAATTTTACATGACAATGACATACAAAAACAACTAAAGGTGATAGGACATGATTTTATATCAAAGATTAAGTAATTTATTTATTTAATTTAATTAAAAAATTAAATAAAAACTTTAAATTTTGTTAATATAAAATGATTAAGTGCATTCTTTCAAAATTTTATTATCGAAACCGAACTTAAGTTAACAAAGCTCATTTCTTTACTAACAGAATAAATTTTATAAATACCAAAATTTTAACATTTAATTAATTGATACACGTATATTTGAATTAAATAAAAATTGTGAATTGCACGAATCCTTGTCAAATTGAATATAAATAATATATTATATAAAGGCAAGTCACTGTGCATGCCAGGTGTATCATTTATTGATTGGGAAATTTGCTAACCAGAGGAGAGAGTCAGAGGATCGCAAATCAGAGGTGGCAGCGCGTGTCATGAAACGAGCGTGAACAGCGAATTAAGGAGAGAATCGGTGATTGGAGAGGGGTGGAATTGGAAAATAAAAATTTTGCATGGAGAAGCTCGGATAAAGAGGGCAAAACTGGAGGACGCTTGGCTTAAAGTTTGAACCCTTTATTTCCACCTGTTTTTTAACTTAGCAAACAACTCCAAAAATTCACTTATAAGGAAGAACAAAAAGCCCTTTAACCAAAGAGAAACAAAGAGATATATAGAGAGAGAGAGAGAGATATGGAGAGGGTTTTGATAGCAAACAGATTTTAGATAGAGACTGTTAAGAGAGGAAATTTTCCTTGAAGAAACCGAGAGAGAGATGGGGGATGGGAACAAAAATTGCTTTGCATGTTGTTTTTCAACAGCAACAACATCATCTTCTTCATCATCAACAATCAAACTTTTGTTCTTTATAGTTCCATTGATTCTGGTATCATTCATTGTTTTTGTTTTGGTTCCAAGAAATTCAACTTGGGTTTTGATTTCTAGCCTCCCTTCTTCTTCTTCTTCTTCTTTTGCTCCTGCTGCAAATAGCAGCGAGAAGTTTGGTGCAGCTACGCATGCAGAAGGAAGTTCCAGGGTGGGGACGGTGGTGGATAGTATTGTTCATGGCGGCCTGGAAGAAGAGGCACTGTCAGATGAGGCTGCGCTTAATCACCCAGCTTCACCGCCTCTTGCCGTTGAAGCAGTGACGAAAATTCATGAATTAGTGGGTGCTGATTTCTCTTTTATGCAATTTTTTTTTCTGGTATTTGTCCTTTATATATTTTTTTCTTCTATTCTTATCAGGATCAGATTCCTTAATAAGGATATAATGCTTGTCACTTTCAGCATCTTTTCTTGCCGGCCTTTTCTTGAATTTTCTTCTGAAAAACTAGCAACCAAGAACAGGAGCAGAACAATTAAGATTGATTACAAATTATGATTCATTCAAAAAAAATTAGGACTAATTATGACATAATAGCGTTAAAAACCCTTTAATCATCAAGTTCTTTTTTCTTTTTTTTTTTAATGGTTTTTCTTTTTATTTCCCCCTTAAGATGTGCTAGAAAAAGGTGACACTTTTTTCAAATCAACTTCTTAATTGATTTATTTCCAAGATTGACATATGAGAAAGTCCAGTTAAACCCTTATTTTTTCCTAGATACATTAGTCTTTCTTGATGGAGTTGTGGTGGCTGGTCAAAGCCAGCTTTTTTCTCTCTTTCTTTCAATCGTAGTTATTTTAATAAAAAAACCATTGTCTGATTGGCATAGTCCCTTTTTACTAATTTTTCAGAAATTTTATGTATCACTGCTACAATTTTCTTTCTTCATTGTGTCTGTCCATGCAGTTTATATATTATTGATTTGGTTAGTCTAGAAAATAAAAAAACAAAACGATAAATTTTTGGTTTGTAAGATGACAGTTTTTTTTATTGATCACTCCATCATTGGATGAATTGAACAGAATGAAACAAAGGAAGACAGCTTAAGTATCACCATTAACGGTTCAGATAGCTTAAATATTTCCATTACCGGGACTCCGAATGCGACAATATCCCTGAATGAATCTATTGCTCTTCCCTTGAAACAAAGTAGACAGGTTCGAACAAAATTGGACAAGCTTGAAGCAGGTCTACAAAGAGCTCGAGCCGCCATAAAAGAAGCTAAAAACGGGAGTCAATTACAGGATCGTGACTATGTCCCAATAGGTCCAATGTATTGGGATGCCAAGGCCTTTCACAGGTACCTCTGTACTAACTAACTTAAAAAGACAAGTAGATCTCTTAGCTTCTTTTCTGCACTTCGTTTTATTGTTATTCGAACTTGGAATTATGTCACTAACTGCAGAAAAGAATGAAAAGAGACCTTCATGTGATGATTTTTTGTTCAGCCATGTGAAAAGGAATAGAGAAAAGTAAAGAAACAGATTAAAAAAAAATAGCATCAATTAGAAATTAGAAAAGGCAAATGAAATAATGAATGAAATCAAATTATTTGAACAGAAATTTTCGGATTTCTGGCAAAAAAACAGAAATTTTAGGATGAAAATATTAACACATCTTTTTGGGTTAATATTTTCTGCTTTTTCCTTGTGATTATTTTCATATGATTATTTGTTAGCTATCAATGAACTGCGTCTTGCGATGAGAATGATTTATTGGAGTCCAATTTCCACACGCAAAGGGTAGGGACAAAATAGAGGTAGGAAATGGCCCAAATAAATCCAAAATTAATAACTTGGGCCAGGGGCTGCGCGGTCCTACTGTATTTGCAAGTCGCTTTTTAAGTCCCCATGGGAAAGGTACAAAGCCTAGTGCGTAAGGGACCCGGCAGCCCTGTTGCAGTCTAAGGCAAGAAAATGTGAAAAGGGTCCACTAGGGACCAGGTACCCAAAAATTTTCAGACCTGATGTAAGATTGACCGTAATTCGGCTAAATGAATTTGCATCTTTTTTTAAAAATTTATTTTATTTGTTCATGCGGCTATTTTTCAACATTTAGTAATTTTTTCTCCTATTCTTACGTTACTTGGACCGACCTAACAATGAGATGTATTGGACAAAGCAAATAACCTCTTGTTGTAAAATAAAAAAAATGTGGACTTAAGATTGTTTTACAAGCATTTGCTGCTCTAATTCCCTTTGACTTTAATTCTTTGTAATTGTAGGAGCTACCTGGAAATGGAAAAACAATTCAAGGTCTTTGTTTACAAAGAAGGGGAGCCTCCAGTGTTTCATGATGGTCCTTGCAAGAGTATTTACTCCATGGAAGGAAATTTCATCTATAAGATGGATGTTGATAGCAAATTTCAAACGAAAGATCCTGAGAAAGCTCATGTTTTTTACCTTCCATTCAGTGTAGCAAAGATGGTCCAATTTGTTTATTTGCGCGATTCGCATGATTTTGGTCCCATAAGAAGGACTGTCATAGACTATGTTAATACTATAGCACAGAAATATCCTTATTGGAATCGAAGCCTTGGTGCAGACCATTTCATGCTTGCCTGTCATGACTGGGTAAGTGTTTAATTACTTCAGCATCATAATCTTAATTGATTTTGATTTGAGCTTGAGACTTGACTTTAATACATTAAATCTTCAAGAACTTACGTAGTTTTAATACAGGGGCCAGAAGCTAGCTTTTCCCTTCCATACCTTCAAGAGAATTCCATTCGTGCTCTATGCAATGCAAACACATCTGAAAAATTCAACCCTGTCAAGGATGTCTCCATTCCAGAAATCAATCTCCAAACTGGTAAATTAACCGGTTTGATTGGCGGACCATCTGCGTCTCGGCGTCCAATCTTGGCTTTTTTTGCAGGAGGGGTTCATGGCCCTATAAGACCTGTCCTCCTTGAGCATTGGGAAGACAAGGATGAAGATATTAAGGTACATAAATACCTTCCAAAAGGTGTTAATTACTATGATATGATGAGAAATAGTAAGTACTGCATTTGTCCAAGTGGTTATGAAGTTGCAAGCCCAAGGATAGTCGAGGCACTATACAATGGATGCGTTCCGGTGCTCATTTCGAAAAGTTATGTGCCCCCATTTAGTGATGTTTTAAGATGGAAGTCATTTTCTGTGCTGGTTTCAGTGGATGATATCCCCAGATTGAAGGAAATATTAACAAAGATATCGCCAAGGCAGTATATAAGAATGCAGAGGAGAGTGCGGCAAGTAAGAAGACATTTCGAGTTCAATTCCCCTCCTAAGCGCTTCGATGTCTTTCATATGATCCTTCATTCAGTTTGGCTAAGAAGACTGAACGTTAGGATCAGTGATGATCATGGAGTCATGCCCAACTGATGAATAATACATTTGACGATTCAGGAATTTTTTTTTAGTTCTAATAATAAATCATTTCTAGCACATTCAAAATTGGTTGTGGAGTCCTAAATGAGTCTTTATTTGTTCTATTTCCTTCTCCAATCTTGAAAGTGTTGATAAAATTAGGCAGTTGGTGAGATTTATGCACGGTCATGTAAAGCTTAATGGATAGTCTGGCTGGAAATTCTGAGTCTGCAATCTGTAGCATTCCCATACTGATTTATGTGACAATTTTCTCTGGAAGATGTATCTGACAGACTTGAACATGGATTTCAAATCAGGATCAAATAGTAATTAAGGCGTTTTTAAGGTGGCAATTTTGGTTTATAGTTCAGTCAGGAAATTCCTTTATATCTTAGATCACAAAATTTTAAAGATTTCCCCTTGATTTTCCTTAGCAATGGCATTAATAATTGGTTTCAAGAGGGAAAAATAAAAAGAGGGTATCTTTTCGTATTCTTTCTTTTCCTGAATTTCTTTCATATGAAATCTTTACATTAATAAGCACAAATTGATTGAATGGGATTGCTTGGCTTTACATACAATCATGCAATCAACTAAATTATACGGATTTAAATACTTGGGAAATGGTCCCCTCAGTACAATTGAAAGCAGTAAAAGACCTTTTGTGGTATACATGAGATTATCCTCTTTCCGGAAACAGTAATAGGCTGATCATGAACAGTAAAATTGCCTCGAGGAAACAAGATAGAAATAATAAGGCAAAAAAGACAAGGTCAATTGGCTTGCATGGAGTTGCAACCATTTTCTTTAGCCTGTTTGTTCTTGTTCCTAAAATCCCAACTCTTATTTGAACCGTGTGAATAGACAGCAAACATATGCTCCATTTTACATAGGATTTTGAGTTAAATCTGAGGCAGGAGAGATGGGGGTAGGGTTGAAGACTTGGTTTTCCACTACTTTTTCTTCGTCATCATCATCATCGAAAATATTATTGTTTGTGGTGCCATTGATTCTGGTGACAGGTTTTGCTTCTCTTTTAGTTCTAAAAGGTTCCGGCTGGGTTTTTATTTATAGTCACCCTTTTTCAAAACCTAGTCTAGATATAGCAACTTCACAGGCAAAACAGAGGGATGGCCTAGCGGATTTACGTTTGGAGGTATTGGCGGTGGATGATCACAGCAGAAAAGAAGCTTTGTCAAACGAGACTGCCATTAACAACTCTGTTTCTTCACCAATTTCAGCTGAGCCCCTGCAAGTTCAAGACTCTGTAAGAGCTTTTTCTCTTATACTGCTTGTACTCCTCCGTTGTCTGCTGCCCGTTAATGCCTTGTCAAGAATGCTTTAGAATGATGGTTCATAAACACATCTCCTTTTTTCCTTTACTCCATTCTAGCCTAATTTTGTTTGATTTTAACAAGCTTTTCAGGAAAAAAAAAGAAAGCTCATCACTTAAGGTCTTTCACCGTTTTTTTGAAGTTAACAGTTCAATTGTTGCCTCAAAAATTGAATTTGTTCTTCCAAATCTGGAAAAGAAATGTCTATCACAAATCATATGTTGATTATTCATCGGACAATCTTGATTAAGTTTTTACCTTCTCGTCAATACACTCTTTTTACTTCATGAGACATTACCCATTTCATAGGTAATATTCAGCTAAGAAAAAAAGAGAAATACAACCAATAACCAGAATTGTGTCCCACTCCCAGTTAATCGATGATCACCCTTTGAAGCCAAGAAGACGAAGATTTTGGACGAATTTGGATAGGTTGGAAGCTGGTCTCCAAAGAGCTCGAGTTGCCATCAAAGAAGCTATAAACGGGAGTCGATTACAGGATCCTGATTACAGCCCCGACGGCCCCATATATAGGAATGCTAAAGTCTTTCACAGGTAACATCGACTTAATTGGTTAGCATATTTCATATTCTCCTTTTCTTTTTTCCAAATAACTTAACGTGGGCATATGAATCACTTGGCGTAAAAATAGTATTCCTTTGTTTAGAACAATTAACCTAAAATATACTATTTCTTTATCTCAATACCGAAATTTAGAACTTGAAATGTGCCTAGCGTTTCCTATTCCCTTGGTCGCTTTTTTGGATTGGATCCCTCCATCCTCTAATGATGCAAGTGGGAGGCACTAGAATCCTCAACAAAGAGACAAGGGAAGCCCAAAGCTCGATTTGAATCTAACAAAAACAGAACAAGGCGACGGGAATGATTGGTTAACGTTAATAACGCCTAGAAGAAAGATTCCCATGCAGAAAACGTGCTCGAAGACAACAAGCCTTCTTTGTTTTTTTTTTTAAGAAAACGAATGCCCCGCGGGTTGTCTTCCAGCAATAAATCTACCCCACTGGCCACTAGTCTGCTGCAATCACGACAATCATCGAGCTCGGTGAGTTATAAATTGGAGGGATAATAGATCTGTCCATGATCGAGCTTCCCGCAAGCCAGTGGGTCTGGCTCAATTTGAATCAGGTCCTGGATAAGAATTTTTTAGCACAAGCTTACCTCATCCGAAATATTATTTTTATTATTTAGTTAATTTTAATATTATATATAAAGATATTTTTAATAATTTAATGATATTTTTAAATCATAACTGCATTTAAATTGGCTTCAAAGTCCAGGTTAGTTTGGGCTGGGCTACGTCGTAGCTAAGGTTTTAAGGTGTTAATCGAGCATCCAACGAACTCGACTTATAGATGCCTCTATGTTATAGAATATATAATGTGCAATTTTATTATTGTGCTTCAATTATTTTAATTTAACAAAGATTTCTTTTATTTTGATTCATAATATTTGCTAAAAATTAAATGAAAAATTAGAATATTTCTTAAAACATTCAATAGAATATATTGATTTCTATAATTGGTCTGAATTGCATATTCTTTTCTGTTAAACTTTTTTATTTAAAATCAAGTAAACAATATTGTATAGGACTTTATTTTTCTCTAGTAAGGAAATAATTAAATAATTTCAATGTCATTTAATTTGGGGACTCTTTACTGTAGTTTCCATGGTTTCTAACTCTTAACTTCTTGGATTTCATTTTTTCGTTTTTTCGTAATGGCAGGAGCTACTTGGAAATGGAGAAACAGTTCAAGATCTTTGTCTACAACGAAGGGGAGCTTCCACTATTTCACGACGGTCCTTGCAGGATGTTATACACTATAGAAGGACAGTTTATCAATAAGATGGAGATGAATAAAAAGTTCCGAGCCCTCAATCCTGAAAAAGCCCATGTGTTTTTCCTTCCTTACAGCATAACAAGAATGCGCCACTTTGTTAATGATTTGAAGTCCTTTGGGAGGATCGTCTTAGACTATGTAAACGTTATTGCAGCAAAACACCCATATTGGAATCGAAGCCTTGGCGCTGACCATTTCATGCTTGCTTGCCATGACTGGGTAATTGGCTTATGCAGTTTTAAATCTGATTAGAAATAATGTGTTATGATCCTGTAACAATGTTTCGTTGATTTCTAAATACTTTTAGTTTTGTTTCAGGGGCCTCACACTAGTTTTTACGTACCAGAGCTAGTGAAATTCTCCATTCGTGCTCTATGTAATGCAAACACCTCCGAAAAGTTCAATCCCTGGAAGGACGTATCCGTTCCAGAAATTAATCTTAAAAACAATAAGCTAGAGGGCTTGATTGGGGGGCCATCTCCATCAAAGCGCTCAATCTTGGCTTTCTTTGCAGGAGGGAATCATGGCCCTGTGAGACCAATACTCTTTGAGCACTGGGGAAAAAAAGATCCAGATATTCAAGTTCACGATTATCTTCCAGGTGGAGTGTCTTACTATGATTTAATGAGACAGAGCAAATATTGCCTTTGCCCCAGTGGTTATGAAGTTGCAAGCCCGAGGGTTGTGGAGTCCTTGTACAATGGTTGCGTTCCAGTGCTGATTTCAAAAAGTTATGTGCCGCCATTCAGTGATGTTTTGAATTGGAAGATGTTTTCTGTGATAGTTTCCCTGGAAGATATTCCAAATCTGAAGAAAATCTTGATGAGTATACCAGAAAGGAAGTATATAAGAATGCAGAAGAGAGTTGTTAAAGTAAGAAGGCATTTTGAGTTGAATTCTCCACCGAAGAGGTTCGATGTGTTCCATATGATACTTCATTCTATTTGGATAAGAAGATTAAATGTTAGAATCAATGATGGTCTTGGAAAGATTTCCAACTGATGAATCAGTTGGAACATTTTATCATTTGAAGAGAAGTCCACCAAGTCAGCTGTAATTAGGAAATGTGTTACATAATTCAGGAACAATATTCTTTGGCAATTTGATGCAGAAGTGAAGTTAAAGCACAATTGGAACAAAATCATACTAATAATTATGTCATGCCAGGAAGTACAAACTCTTGAAATAAAAGTGGTGGAACGAATAGCATTTTTTTGTAATTTAAGGATAGAGAAGAATGCAAAAGTTGCTGATATTGTTAAAAGTTTGGATTTGGCATAATTGACCGGCTTAACAAATAATCTAATAACTATACAAGCAGCTATTGTAGTGTTATCACTCCGTCTAACAATAAGGATTTTGATTCAATTGAACATTCGAATATTTATACTTCCCAATACTCAAAAACTTGTGCCGCTTATTTCAATGAGTGATACTTTAAGTTCTAAACTTAAATCAAGAATTGTGCAGAAACTGGGGAGTTCATTAGTTTATCTTATAGTTCGTTTGGGACCCTGATTGAATTGGAGATCATGCTTTCAAATTGACCCTTACTCAATTAGTTGTTGTTTGGGAGTATCCAGCGTTGAAAACTTTTGTTTCAGGCCTTCTTGCTTTTTTGGATAATTGATTATGAATAAAAATTCAATTATCCAAAAAAATATATATAATAATCAAATTACTTTAGGCTACAGTCATTTTTTTTTATCCTCTATCAAGAAAAGAAGATTATAAATTATTACAAACAAATGAAACACAGTACAATTAGAATAAAAGGAATAAAAGATGAGCACTAATAGCCACAAAATTAGAGTTTGAAAATGACCTTTGTGGGCATTATATTAACCCCATTTTCAAAGCAGTAAAAAAGGTGTGTTGTGAACTTGGCTTGAGAGGAACTCAGATAAATAACGAGGTTTCTTGGCTTTGCTTGGAGGTATAACCATTTGTTTTCGGCTGTTTCCAAGAACCCCAACTCTTTTTTTTTTTTTTTTGTGTGTGTGTCGGTTGCAAACATGCTCCATTTTACATAAAATTTTGAGGTTAAACTACTTGAGAAGGAGAGATGGGTGAAGGGTTCAAAAATTGGTTTGCCACCACTTCACCAGTGTTGAAAATTTTTCTATTTGTAGTGCCATTGATTCTGGTGTCAGGTTTTGCTTCTCTTTTAGTTCGAAAAGGCTCCAACTGGGCTTTAATTTACACTCTCCCCACTTCATCATCTTCAAATACTAATTTATATGCAGTGAAGAAGCCAAGTTTACAAGCAAAAGAAAGGAATAGTCCAGTATATTTGCAGTCACAGGAGGAAGTATCGATGGATGGTGGCAGCAGGAAGGAAGCTTTGTCAAATACGGCTGCCATTATCAACTCTGTTTCTCCACCAATTGTTGCTCAGTCCTCGCAAGATCAACCCCTAGTAAGAGTTTTTTTTTTCTTTTCAGTGACGGCTTTTAACGTTATCTGCCCTTATCCATTGCTTTAGGATGATAGCTTAGAAGCACAGATCCTTTTGTTTTTTACTACATTTTAGCTTAATATTGTTGATTCTTATGAGCTCTTGGGAAATTAAGTCCATTCAGGTCTTTTCCCCTGGTTAATCTAAAGCTAGAGATTACATCGTTGCCCCACTAATTGAGTTTGTTCTCCCAAATAAGGAGAAATAATCCCATCTCAAGCATATATTTGATGTTCAAATCATTATTAATTTTTATATTTTGATCACTTAAAATCTCATTAGTTGATTAGGGAATGTTGATCCAATAGATATTTGACATCGTCATGATTAAAATTGAGATGGCAACTAATATCTAGAATATTGTCACTCTTTTATAGAGTTTTTTTTTCTAATAATTATACAAATAATTTAAAAATTAATTTAGTGCTCCATTACTTTAACTATAGACTATTAGACTCATTGTTGTATACTATAACTTGGAAAAAGTTTAAAATAGCTAGTTAAGTGGCAATCATCAAACTAATGACCATTAAGAATAAAGACAGAAATGACAACATACCCTATAACCATCCCTACTTCATTAAGCCTTATAAGTGTTAAAGAATGAAACTTCGACATTATAGGAATATATTTTTAAGAGAGTTGGATAAATTATTTGAGTTAAATTTAAGAATGTACAAATCATATAATTAATATATGGAAGTTTAAACCACTATAACTATCCTATAATTGATAATAATATATTTTTTGGTTCACTTCATGTTAATGCAATGCTTCCTTCCCTAAATTAAATTGTTTTCTTAGTGACTTTAATTTGGATGATTTGAACAGAATGGGAAAAATGAAGACATCCCAAATATGTCAATCAGCGAAAACTTCAACTCCACCACATCCAATATGAAAGAAAATGAATTAACAAATCCTCCTTTGAAGCCAAGAAGACGAAGAATTGGCACTAATTTGGATAGGTTGGAAGAGGGTCTTCGAAAAGCTCGAATTGCCATCAGAGAAGCAATGAACGGGAGTCAATTGCAGGATCCTGATTATATCCCCGATGGACCCATATACAAGAATGCCAAAGCCTTTCACAGGTATTTCATCACCTTTTTCATATCCTCCTTTTCCTTCTCTTTTACTGAAGAATTTTAAGTGGACAAATTTGAATTTGAGTCACCGAGGTAAAAATGTTTTTTTTTTTTTTTTTCAGTATGAAAACTTAAACTTTAAACGTTGATTTATAAAAATAGAAATAATCCATTTTCGAAGTCAAATTTAACGATGTGAAAATGTCAAGAGCCACTCATTTAGCATCAAAGAACCCCGAACTTCTTATCCAAAAAAAAAAAAAAAGAACCCAAACTTAATCTCAATCCAATCTTCATGTCGGCTAGTCATTTGGGTGCAATAGGGAAGTTATTTGTCTCCATTCACATCAGCAATTCAGCATGCTCCAAGTCGCTTATTGGACCACCCGTCATTGAAATGAATGGCAATACAATCCGTATAAAAGACAAGCGAGTCCAACTGCAATGGGAATCCAACAAAAACAAGAACCCTGTAATTATTGTATTCCAACTGGATCTGTGATTCATAGTGTTGTAGAACTGTTTGTGTTTTCCAACGCTAACTCTAAGGCCCCTGTCTTGTTGCCCGAAGTTACCTGTGGGTTTGGTGGTGGATATCAAGAGTGGCCCATATCTAATTCAAGCCCCATGAGAAACCGTGTAAGTATTGCAGCCCAGTTACCCCTTTCCGTTTCCCAATTTATCCAATTTCTTAGCTAAATTTCATCATCAAGAAAAAGAAAAAAGCAATGACTAACTCGATTACGCAGTTTAGTTTCAAATTACAGAATTTTATAGTTCTTCATTTCCACAACAACAAAAAAAAAAGGTTGAGCAAGCAAATGTTTTAAATTTCTAGTATATCTTTGTTGAGGAAAGAAAGTCAGTTTTTCCTTTTTGTTTTCAGGTGAGGAAACCTTTCGAAGTAAATTTGTGTACTTGCAGAACCTTTTATAGTTTCTACTGTACTATAGAGCTTCTCACTCTAATTTCCAGGATTTTCTGCTTCTTGTTTGCAATGGCAGGAGCTACCTGGAAATGGAAAAACAGTTCAAGATATTTGTCTACAGAGAAGGGGAGATTCCACTATTTCATGATGGTCCTTGCATGCTGCTGTACACCATGGAAGGACAGTTTATCAATAAAATGGAGGATAACAAAAAATTCCGAACCCACAATCCTGAGAAAGCTCATGTATTTTACCTTCCTTACAGCGTAACAAGGATCGTCCAATATATTTGGGTGAAGGGTACGCCTATGAAACGCTTAGGGGGGGTCGTCTTAGATTATGTAAATGTTATTGCTGAGAAACACCCCTATTGGAATCGAAGCCTTGGCGCAGACCATTTCATGCTTTCTTGCCATGACTGGGTAAGCTTTTACAGGTTCACAACTAAGAACAGAGTTATGATCCTAAAATAATTCCAGTGATTTGTCATTTCTGAGTACTTTTAGTTTTGTTTCAGGGGCCTGCAACGAGTTTTTTCGTTCCTGATCTAGTGAAACACTCCATTCGTGCATTGTGCAATGCAAACACCTCTGAAAGGTTCAACCCAATGAAGGACGTATCGATTCCAGAAATTAGTCTCAAAAGCAGTAGGCTGGAGGGCTTGATTGGTGGGCCTTCTCCATCACAGCGTACAATCCTGGCATTTTTTGCGGGAGGAAATCACGGTTTTGTAAGAGCAATACTCTTTGAGCATTGGGAGAAAAAGGATCCAGATATTAGAGTTCACAATTACCTTCCACGAGGAGTATCTTACTATGATCTAATGAGACAAAGTAAATATTGCCTTTGCCCCAGTGGTTATGAAGTTGCAAGCCCAAGAATTGTTGAGGCCTTGTACAATGGCTGTGTTCCAGTGCTGATTTCGAAAAGTTATGTGCCACCATTCAGTGATGTTTTGAATTGGAAGACGTTCGCTGTGATAGTTTCCCTGGAAGAAATCCCAAATTTGAAGAAAATATTGATGGCTATACCAGACCGGCAGTACATAAGAATGCAGAAGAGAGTAGTCCAAGTGAGACGGCATTTCGAGTTGCATGTGACTCCGAAGAGGTTCGATGTGTTCCATATGATCCTTCATTCTATTTGGCTTCGAAGATTGAATGTTAGGGTCAGTAATGGTCGTAGAGAGGTGTTGGATTGATGAATCAATAGGCTACTCCATCTTAGTAAAGAAATAAGTTTCCACCTAGCTGATGGGTAATGGAACACATAATTATGAAGATTCTTTTGCAATTTGATGATGTAGTAAGCACAATTGCAATTAATTGCAATTAAGATAAATCATGTTTGCATCAAAAATCATTTTGGAGTCTTCTTAACTATCTTGCTTTACTTGTCTGATCGAGTCTTCGAAGTTGCTCACATTAAAAATCATTAGGCCATAAGGCAATTTGCAAAGGCTCATATAAGAATTTGTTCATGGCTACTCTTGTTTCTAATCTCTACCTAATGTTTCCATTGCAAAGATCACAAATCCCTGTCCCTGATCTTTTCACTAAAATATTAATAGTAGTAAAAGAGATTTGTTTATGTCAAGACCATTTAGACCATTTAAGGTGGTCTTGGACTTCTAGACGTTTCACTGTTGTACAAGCCTGTATTTAAAAGATACTTGCAAAAAATGTAAAAGCTTTTGGCTAGAGTTGGATGGCAATACTAAAACTTAGAGACAGAACCAGACCCTTTGTCGAGCATAAGATTGAAGAAAGGGAAAAACACCTTCCTGTGGAGGGACAGAAAGTGTCATGATTGATTAATGGAATGAGGGTTACAAGTCAATGAAAAATTGCAGAATATTTTAGACAGAACCTGGCACGCATTAGCATCCAGTTACATCAGATGATCCCATACTCAAGCCTCGATCTGCAATGTTCTGACTCCATTCTCCAACCATAATAATGAGATGATATGGATGGCCTAAAAACTTTGTCTAATTCAGCAGTAATTTGGAAACCTGGAATGTATCAAGCACCCAAGTAAGGGTGCATGAGATTGCCAAGGACTCAATCTGATTCCAGTTTCTTGTTCGCAAACGTGATGTATTGAGCTGCTTTCATTAAAATTTGAAGAAACTCGAGATGTTTGTTTTTCTGTTAACTGTGTCTCTAAGCAAATCTAGCAGTACAAAATTTTACAAGCCTCGAGTACTGTTCTTGCTTTAAGTATTTTACTAAAACCTTTCAAATTAACTTTCACTATGTGCTAATTATTATGTGGCAGAACTAGAATATAGAAGATGAGCGCTTACAGCTAACATAGCAAATATTATGCCACGTGGCAAGGGTAAGACACGTGGAAAGACATTGTATGAAAAAAAAAAAAGTTGCCTACTTGATCTCTCAGACACAGTTGCAATCCATCCACCGCTTGATGACATTCACTTGGATTGGCATGCAAGCTGAAACGTCTTCCTCCGTTAGCATGCATGGCCACGCGTCAACTCATCATCTCATTAGAGTAAACTTTCTTCCCCTACGTGTCAAGTTCCCAGGGTTGAAGCAAATTGTATATAGATCGATGACAAGCATTTCACCAACTTAAAAACACATAGGATCATATATAGATTCCTGGTGAAATATAAAAATCAGTGTTGTTCTTCTATTATTCCAGCGAGTTCGTGTTTGAGATTAGATTTGAGATTCATCAGCAATGGCGACTAGGCAAGAGAAGGAGCAAAGAGCAGAAGCAGCAGCAAGACAAGCTGCGGATGATCTTAGGGATGTTATCAGAGAAAGAGAACATGAAGAAAGAGTTGTCTATAAGGAGGAGTGCGATCAATCCCCACAGCAACAGCAAAAAAGAGTTGTCTATAAGGAGCAGTGGGATCAATCCCCGCAGCAACAGCAACAGAGTCATGGGGTTATTGGGACCGTGTTGAGGGCTGTGCAAGGTACATACGGCCAAAGCCATGGTTGGTAAGAGCCACGAGGCAGAGGATTACACAAGGGAAGGAGCTGATCTATCTGCAGAGAAGACATGGGAGACGAAAGATGAAGCAGCAGAGAAGGCTAAGGAATACAAAGATAATGTCACGGTGAAAGCGAAGGAAACTACAGATGAAGCTGCGAGGAGGATGGAGGCATATAAAAACCATGCAGCCCAGAAGATGAAAGAAGCTGAGGAGATGGCAGTGAAGCCAAGGACAATACAAAGGAAAAAACTCGCGAGTATCAGGAGTATTTAGAGCAGAAGTCCAGGGAGGCATCGGAGGAGGCCGAGGAGGCATCCAAGAAAGCGAAGGAGCTAGCTGAGAGGGCAAAGGACACTGCCATGGGAAAGGCTGGTGAGTACAAAGACTATGCAGCTGAGAAAGCAAAGGAGGCTGCAGATAAGGCAAAAGAGGTAAAGGATACTTAAAAGCTAAAGGCTGCTAAGTGTACAGATTACACCAATAAGAAGGCAAAGGAGACGAAAGACTCTACCGCCCAGAAGGCGAAAGAAACGAAGGACTCAGTAACAGGTAAAGCTTCTGAGTATACAGATTATGCAGCCCAGAAGGCAAAGGAAACAAAAGACACAGTAACAGGTAAAGCTTCTGAGTATACAGATTATGCAGCACAGAAGGCAAAGGAAACGAAAGACTCTGCTGCCCAGAAAGCTAAAGAAGCGAAGGACTAAGTAACAGGCAAAGCTGCTGAGTATAATGACTATGGAGCTGAGAAAGCCAAGGAAGCCAAAGATACCGTAGCTCAGAAGGCTTCCGAGTATACAGACTATGCGGCATAGAAAGCAAAGGAAGCAAAGGAAGCAAAGGATACTACAATGGGAAAGGCGTCCGAATATAAGTACTATGCAGCCGAGAAAGCCAAGGAAGCCAAGGACATGACAGCTGAGAAGGCCAATGAAGCAGCAGACAAGGCAAAACAGGGAGCAGGAGCGGAGAAGGCCAAAGAAGGAAAAGATGCTACTGTGGGAAAGATGAAAGAGTACACAGATTATACTGCTGAGAATGCAAAGGAAGGTAAAGATACCACTGTTATAGTAAGCTTTTGGAGTTGAAAGACTCTGCTGCTGATGCTGCTAAGAGGGCTATGGATTTCCTTACTGGGAAGACAGAGGAAACGAAGCAGAAGGCATCAGAGACTACAGAGAAAACCAAGGTGATGAATCTTATTATTCCCACTTTTTCTCTGTTTTTCTTTTCTAAATATATACTTAATGTTGCTTAAATTATACAGGAAAATTTGAGTGAAACAACGGAGTCAGCTAGACAGAAAATGGAAGAGATGAAGCCGAAAGGTGAAGAGTTCAAAGATGAAGCAGGACGCAATGATAATGAAGTGAATCGTGACGGCGTTTTAGATACGATTGTGATTAAAGTTGAAGATACCTCACCAGGAGCTATTGCTGCTACCCTGAAATCATCTGATCAGATGAGTGGCCAAACTTTCAACGACGTTGGCCGTATGAATGAGGAAGGCATTATATGAGTGGACCGCTCGGGCAAAACCAAAATGTGATCTCAGACAATCTGCATATGACCTTTAGTATATAGGGTGGACTATTGTCTTATCTTTTTAATGGTTTTTCTTCTGTTTTTGTATCTTTTGTTCTGTCTGTGTTCATGAATACTTGGAATGTTCTAAATAAAACCCGTAAGCTAATAGAGCGAGAATGGAGTATGAATTTTGGAATCTGGGACAAGTTTCACTGTTTGGGTGTTTTGAGTTGATGAGAACTCTGGCTGGAAGCCCAACTCGTATTCTAACTCTATCAATGTTTTTGGAAGCCCAAAAATCAATTGTAAAGGCGTTCATTTGTTTCTCCCGGAATTAGACAGATTCTGGGCCTAATAAGCTTAGACCAATTGGCTTCCTCTCAAGCAAAGCTGGTCAGTTTGAGTTTAAATTCATATAATATTAAGTTTAAATTTGAATTTGATTTAAAATTTAAAATTTGATTTGAATTTAAATTTGATTTAAAATAAAAAAATTAAATTACTTATATTTATTTGATTATATTTAATTAATACGTAAAAATAATTTTTATTTTTATATTTTTATTAATTAAGATATTTTATTAATTAAAATATATTAAAATATAAAATTTTGATTAAACTCATAAATTATTTAAATTAAATATAAAAATATTTAAACTATTTAAATTGAGTATAAAAATATTTAAATTTAACTTAATTGATATATCTATCCATTTAATTTTAAATTTAACTTGATAATAATTAAATTAAATTTAAATTTTATTCTAATCAAATTTAAATAATATATTAATATTAATATATCATTTATATTTTTAATCGATCTTAATTGATCCTAAATCTCATAATCTCATGCTAATTTCTCGTAATTTCACATCATTGATTCTCACTTCATGTCACTTTCAAGTTTCCAAACAGACCGAATTATTAGAAAGAGTACAGTAACTTTTTTAAATCTTTTCCGTAAGTACATGTACGGGTCTTATGTTTAATGGGCAAAATTATATACTTAACAAATGCCTTTGGATTCAAAGAAAACTCTTTACCAAATTGAGATGCTTGGAAACTTATATATTGGGACAATTGCATGCCTGGAAAACTATGGATGTGGTAAGAAATTAAAACATTGTTGTAATCTTCACCGATGTATTGGATGACACTTTTTTTTTTCATCCAACTCTTTATGGACTAGAAACTTTTTCTGGTTGAAAGGTGTAGAGTAGAGACAAGTTGCAATCACATAGTTATAAGAAAATTGATTAGTTCAAGTAGAGTTGAGGTGAGGACCGCACCTGATGTTACCGGTCGAGAATGTGTTGGACCATTTAATAGCCAATCCGTATAATATTTGCCGATGTCGATGACAATTAACAAAGGGCCAGTGACATATACAATGAAGGTAATGGGTCCTTAAGAAAATCCAGGGCCTATTGGCTCGTTTATGATGTGGATAGGGTTAATAATAGGTCCGATCAAAGTGAATTATATAAATTTTATAGATTCGATTCGAAATTAATAAAATATTATTTTTTTAAATATAAATATATAATTATATATAAATAAAAATAAAAATTAAAAAATAATTTTTAATATAATATCAGATCGGATCGGATCGGATTTACTTAAAATTCAAACTCAATTTTTTTTTAATAATATTCAATCTGACCTAAAACTAAAATTTTCAAAAAAAAAAAATGATCATATGTGATCGGATCGGATCGAAATCCGTCGAACTCAGGTTGAGTTGTAAACCCTAGATGTGAATAAGATTAGGGAAGAATACTTTTTAATAGAATTAAGGATCTTAAATTTGAAGTATTTCTTATTTTTATAAAAAAAAATTAAAAGACTAATATTATTTCATAAATTTTGTGGAATTTTAAATTTTTAATCAAAATTAAAATTTTATCATGTATTTTTTTTATCATATTACTTTATTGATTTTTTAAATATATCATAATAGATTTGCGGTAATTCTAATTTTAATTTCATTTGCAAGATTAAAATATTTTATTGATCAAGTATTAGATCATTTATTGCGAAAAGTCCACGTAATTGATTAATCAAGTACTTTAATTAAGAGCTTTGATGATAAAATATCATCAAAATAATAATAATATAATAACAATAATAATCTCATTGTTTCATTTTCCTTATCCATTTTTTTGATATTTCAAAATTATTTCTGCTTTCTTTGTCGAATGTTAATCCTA